ATAATAATAATAATAATAATAATAATAATAATAATAATAATAATAATAATAGGCCACAGAAAATAATAGAGAAAAAATTTCCACTGCGAGTCAAAAGCTGGAAATCAACATCATTACATCTAAAAATACTGATTGCTGCTGGAGTGGCGCAACGTTTCAAGACATACGTAAAAAATCAGAGGTATTTAAAAAAACAGACATTAAAGGAAGTTGGGGCCAAATAAAAGAGGATGCCTTTGGTCTTGCCTTGCTGTTTTGTGGGGTTAAATGTGCTGTTTTGTTATCTGTGAGATGAATTCAAAGAAGCGCTTGTTTGTCTGCCGATGCCTTTGTTTTCCATCAGCTGATCCCAGCTTTTGGATTTACATTAGATTTGCCCACTGGCTCTTTGACGATTTACTGTTCAAACTAGATGGTGGTCTTAGAAATGAATTTTCCGAGTGTTTAGCCGCGAGTCAGATTTATGTAATTCATAAATCAACTCGAGGAAAGGCCCCTCCTTTGCATTTGTGACACAGTCAGAACATCATATTTAGTTTTAAAGCCCCTTTTTGTGCAGTTTTATGTCCAGGTGCCTCAGAGATTAGCATTTATGACAGGAAGAGCTACAGAGTGCACCCTCCCCCCATGGAGAGGGGGAACCAGTCTGACCAGCAGCTTTAAAAGCTCACCTGTCGACCTCATCGCGAGCCACGATGTCTCCCTTCTTCAAAGCTTTGATGGCAAACATCTCCCCAGTGCTTTTATATTCCGCTAAGAGCACCTGGAAAGGAGAGATTCGTCTTTAATCAGTCTGTGTTTGTCGGACTAGAATTGCGCATAAGTCACATGTTAAATCCGCTTTTTCCACTGAAATGAAGCAAACGCACCTTTCCAAAATGACCACGTCCAAGGACTGCTACACATTTGAAGTCCCGGAGATTGAAGTGGAACTGTTCTTCTTCCCTGAAGAGAAATCATCAAAAATCAGTTCAGCTAAACCAAAGCCAGAGGGCGGCGTTTGCACTGATGAAGCTACGGTTCAACAAGCCAGCAGAGGAGAGAAAAACTGGCAGAATCTTTATCTTACCGCCCGGTTAATGATTGTCAGGTGTACACGTATTTTTAAAAAAAAAGGAAGAACCCACATGCTGCCCTCCCACCTTATCTCTGTGTCCTTGTGAAAGGCGTTGAGCTCCAGGTCCGGGTGTCTGTTCTCCAGCTCCAGCACGCCGTCCAGGCCCGGCTTCAGCACCGTGCTGTTCCTCTTGTTGAGGAAGTCGAACGAAGCGAGTGCATCCTGCTCAGGGGAAGCATGGGAGTACACGAGAAAGGTGGCCAAATGTGAATAAAGATTTTTTCAAAAAGTAATTTACGACAGACAGTGTGGTTGCAAAGACTTCCATCAGGGTCAGCCATCTTTTATCAACAATGCTTGAAATTCCCGAGAGATATCGCACCTGTACCTCCTCCTTGTCGGGGATCTTGTGCTGCGTCAGTGGCTCTCTGATGTCATCGGGTTCTGGGTAGTGTTTGGGTCCTGGTGCGGGCTCTTTGTCGAAGTCCAGCTTGGTTACCAGTGGGTCGCTGAATTCGGACAAAAGGTGCCGCTTAGAGACCAGGATATACTGGGCCCCTTTTTCGTCATCATACAAACCCGTCTCAAATCCTCAACATGGTATTTTTCTACCGATCGTGTATTGGCACGTGTTTGTGTACCTGGTGGGCGTGGGTGAACCGGGCAGGCTGCTGGGTCCGGTCTCGGCTGCTTGGGGGCTGAAGGAGTTGGTGCTGACCGTCGGTATGGCTCTCCTCACGAGCCGGCCCCAGGTGGCGATGTTAATGTTCATTTGAGGGGCTCGCAGGAAAGTCTTACCTGGTAACGACACAAGTGTTTTTTTGCTTTTATTAGGACAAGTCTTTATCGCCAGCGTCAGTTTTCCCAAAAGGTGCCTTTGACCCGTTATGAGTTATGGAAAAATAAAATAGAAAGTATAAAAAGAAATAGTGAAAAATAAATGGTAAATAGTACAATTTAATAAATACATAAATATTAAATAAATACAGTTTAAAATAAATAAATAACTATCATAAATAAATTAAAATTGGGAACTAAAAGATTAATAATATATTCAACCCTTTTTTCCATCTACCTTCAAAATAATTGAAATGTACCTTTAGGTGATTTTCCCAAATTATCAGTGAGAAAAATAAGAAGAAAATAAAAAAGCAGAGACAGCTATGACTCACCTTGTTGTTTGGAGAAAATCTTCTTTTGTCTTTGCAGCTTTGGTCTTCTCTCAATGACAGGGTTAAAAAACGTTACCTACACAGGACAAAGAGATAAATCAGAGCAGCTACAAAAACGCCCCGTGCGTAAATGAGCCAGCCTCATCAGATTCAAGAAAACGTGTCACACCAACATAAAACCAGTGATTCCTTCGGCCCATCTCTCCATCTCAAGCGGGACCATTTTTGAAGACGGAACGAAAGCTTGTTTGAATGCGACTTGTCGATCAAAACATCGGAATACTTAGCACCCCTTTATGGAATTTGACTCCTCGGTGTGCGAGTGTGTGCGTGTACCTCAGCAAACAGCATCCCTTGGGGCTCCAGGTACAGACACATTCCGTGACGTTGGTTGTCCAGGAAGTCCTCCAGTCGCAGGAACTTGACGGCGCAAAGTGAACGCCAGTCCCGCCAGTACACGGAGATCTCCAGCTCACGGGACTGCAGGACAGAACCGCACGCGCGGTGTTGAGTCAGTGTGATAAGGTGTGTGCTTTATTGAGAGAAAACCGACTGAGCAGTTTGTCTGGTCTGAACTGCACAAACTTTAAGATTTTAATTGCAGATTTGGACCCTCACCTTTTAAATGGGCTCCTTAAAAACAAGTAAACCACACACCAATAGGCTACAAGGTCACTGGTCGTGTTGGGATTCCTCAGTTTCACAAACTGTGGTGCATTTGTGTGCGATTGGAAAGTTGAGACATGCATGTCTTCCAACGTAACTCCACATTTTCTGAACACCGACTTTACGATCACATTTCAAAACATAAAGATTGAACTTGAACTCACCTTTCCTTAACAAAAGAAGTTCAGCACCAAGCCGTTGTTCAATAAAACTATTTACACTTATTTATAACTTTTCAATGACCACATCAATATTTCAGGGATATACAATTCTAAAATTTGGGTCTCTGTGTTATAATCAGGGAGTGAGAATCTGTTCTATTTCCACAAACAAACATCTTTCCACAGTCGGCATAATTTAGTTAAAAGCCTGAAGTTCCAGCTGTCCACTGTCACCTAAATCCGCCCCTTACAAGTGAAACTTAGAAGTTGGAATAGTGCAAACTCTCAAAACCCCATGCGGCCTTGTAAACTGATACATGTGTAAACCTGGACTTGCTATTGGGCGATAAGTGCGTGCCCACTCAAGGAGCCTTGTTTAACATGAAGTGAGCATGTTTGTGAGGTTGAGGGTTAAAATATGTATGTAAAATTGTATATTCGTGTAGTTTGTTAATTCATTTTACATGTTTGGATCACCCAAAGCTAGAATTGAAATGGTTGGCACACATTTACAACAGTATGGAGTCGATTTTCTTTCTGTTGAAAGGCAAGTTTTTTTTTGTGTTTCTTTTGTTTCTTTTTTACCCGGTCCAGTTCCAGTGTAAACTTCTGGTCCCAGGCCTGGTTGCTGACCGGCCTCCAGCCCGTCTGCCCCACAACTGTGTTGTCCAACTTCAAAACTGCACTGATCTCATCTAAGGAAGACACGCAGTGCTTTGGTTATCAGTTATAAATAAATAACATAAATATAAGAACAGGACGTTTTTGTACTTTTTATAGTTCGGGATAACGCAGCGGGTTGGGGCTCTACTTACTGGAGAGCTCCTCGCTCTTTGTTAGGTTCCTCGAGCTCACGCCCCGGTTTCGGTTTGCTCGACTAATGAAGGACGAGCGAGTCTCGCTGGGGCTCCAGCCAGGCAGTGGGACGGATGCAGCTTTGGAACGACCAGGAACGTTTTCCAGAAGGTCTTGACAGCCCATGAGCCTCACATCCAACGTCCCTAAAACATGTAGACATTTATTTCCCATCAACCTGTCCAAAGTTGCCCCCAGCAAGCATTCATTTTCCTAACTCATGGATATAGAGAGATAGAAATGTATTCCGGGATGTTTCAATTAACTCCCAAAACAGGTTTAATGAGTTTGGCTAATCCAGTCTAGATCTTCTGAACACAGATACCTGCAACAGATCTGTATCTGTCCAGTGATAAATGACACTGGCTGCTGAGCAAAAAAAAAAAAAAAAAAAAGTCCTTTAAACAGTGGTTAATCTGACTTAATTAGATTTTTGGGGGGTTGTGGCTGACATTCCTTCTTATAAATTCAATATTGAGGACATTTAAATAACATCCCATTCAGTTCTTATATATAGACTGCAAAGCAAAAATATGCATACAGTAGATAATCTTAGAGAAATGTTAAAGCTGAATAAAGAAAGTCCATCTTTTGATCTTCAGAATAAGGTGCTTAAAACTGTGTGCTTCTATAGGTAAAATATGGCAGTTGTTCTGTGTTGACATTTATTTGAACAGAACAAGAGTGAGAATGGGATGATTAATGATGCTCTGTTACAGCAGGAAAAGACGGAAGGAATCAGACGACAAAATAAATAGCACCACCATCTTTGGGATTTCCTCTTGCATATTAACCCCTTTGTGCCATCAAGCACTGATGGAAGGCAGCCTCAATTTACAGAAAAGGAATGTAATTCAGAGCTGTTACAGAAAAACTATTTTCAGTAAACGTTACACTACATTATACTCCCAACATCTAAACATTTCCAAGGGGAATCCTGTCCTCTCTTCTTCTAAATGTAGCATTCTATAAGCAGACAAGCAGCTTTCAAATCTGTGTTTTCAAATGTTTATGATTATCTTATTCATGGTATCAAAATGTTCAAATACAGTTTGTTTGTAGTTGAACATTTTTCTTTATTTAAACTGCAGCATGTGTCAGCTATAATGATGTAACAGATTATTTTTCACAATGCTGTAGTGGTACAACCTGTATCCATTCTCCTGTGATTTTATAACTGCCACCGATCAGTCTACAATAAGTAACCAGCTGTGTCATAGCCAATTAGGATGGTTACTTTGAATCAATGAAGAGACGTCGTGGGCGAGTGTAGAGTCGAACAGAAGGAGAAAAGTGGGGCGTGGCGGCACAATGAGTGAGAGGAAAGAGACGCTAATGTGGCTTTACAGGACTAACAGGTTAGCTTAATTTCCATTTTCTTTTTCCAGCGTAAAAGGGATGAGCTGTGGCTGGGATGTAGGAGAGTTTATATGTTTCTGGTAGCCTTCCTTGTGTTTTCTTTCCAGGTACCTGTGAGTGCCGCAGGCTTGGTTACGGTGCTGTACTGGTTCTGTGTTGAGATGATGCTGGATCTGGGACTGAGGGCCGGTGAGGACAGCAGAGACAGCTCCTCGGTGATGCTGTTGCTACGGGGGTGGTTTTTGGGCAACTCGTTGAGGCGTTGCTCCAGGGAGTATCGCAAGAGGTCAAGTTTCTGATTGGACTCTGTAAATCGAGCCTGGGCCTAAAGAGGGGAAGAAAAATGGGAGAATGAAATTACATGTTCTGCTTCCTTTAATGCAGCAATCAATGTCTCTGACAAAATTGAATCCTGCTGCTACAAGAATAACACACAAACAAACCAATAGGAGTGTACCTCTGAATGTGCCTTTTTTTCTGTGACTTTTCCGGAGCCAAGGAGTTTCATGACGTTCTTTGCACCCTCAGCCACTGCAGACTCTATCCTGGCGTGGTGACACAACTCTTCCACCCGCAGGTCTAAAGGGCTAATAATGGGCTTATCTGCAGGATGAAGGAAGATGGTGTTTTTTTTTCTCTTCCACCTGCTCTGTGATGGCAGCCATTTATAGTTGCCGCCGTTTTTCTCTTCCGGAATCTGGCCGAGTAATCGTAAGTGAATGCTCACCCATCACGTCATTGTTCTCGAAGCTGAGCTCGCTGGTCTGGCTGGCCTTCAGGATCTGCATCCTGATGAACTCAATCTTTGTTTTGCTGTCTTGAAGCATTTGCTGGGCGGTTGCTAACAATTTACGGTCCTGCAAATCGGGATAAAAATGAGAAATGAATCAACCACCGGGCCGAGGGAGAATTCTATCTCGCTGTGCATTTCTGAGGGAATCAAAATGTTCTAATCGTGTTTTGTCTTCGGAAAAAAAAGTGGACACGAGGACCTCACTAGTGATCCGAAATGCACCCCGTCCCTCGTCACCTATTGTGCTCTGTTTGTCGCGAGTGTGAAACGCAGCCACGATGCCAGTTTATGCCCTTAATTGGAGCTGAAGCACAAGTGACTGCATGGAAAGTCTTATTCACCGTAAAACAAAGTGGAATCACATTGTTTGCTGATTTGCTGACACGCACACCGGCACACACTGGAGTAAGAAAACTCCACCCCGAATTCCTATGAAGTGTAAGTACTGGTTGACGGCTGCATGCGCAGGAAAGACTTCTGTCCAGCAGGCATTTCCTCTCTGACATCAGGACAGGACTATTTCCAAGTGGAAGGGGTTTCTTTCTGTCTGACCTGGGAGGTCGCTTACGAAACACTGTGACCCCGATGGCCGGCCAGACAGACACACAAACAGGGTGAGTCAGGTGACAGCTTTCACAGCTATGTGCACAGTAAGGATTTGCCAGTACTTCTCGTCTTGAAGACCACACTTATATCCACCTAGCTGTTAAAAAGAAAATGCGGGGGGGGGGGTGTCCTTTAGTGTCCTAGTTATCCCCAGACAATGACCAACAGAATTCCATCTTTTCATTGTTTGGTAAAATCTTACTCCCAGGAGGAAACATAAAATGTAAAGCCAGTCATGCCGTGGGTGAAAACGAGCCCTACACTGTACTGAACTACCTACTACAAAGTAGTTGTAGCCCCTCTCAGTCCTCCAGCAGTTATTAACCCAATTGTTGACTTATGGTACAAACACCTCCCAAGTAAATGATAGCTTCGCATCTCACTGAGGATTAGAGGAGACAGCAGAACCATATGGGCTTTGTGAACACGCAGTTGTGTGAATAACAGAATGTGTCAGCACCTTCTCATGTTTCCTCCCCCGTGGATGGCTGGGTTTCTATGTGGAAATGCACCTCATTGTTTCCACTTTCGTGTGATGCTCGTAGTATCAGCATTAAAATAAAAAAAAGTATGATTTTTGTGATTGGAGTATGGGGAAACTTTGGGATAGAAACAGTGGAAAGCATTTAAAAGTGGGAATGCAGTTGGCCCTCGCCATATCACGGGTTCAATTTTTGCGATCTTACTGTATTGCAGATTTTGAAACTGCATATACTTAATTTTGTATTGCTGATTTACAAGTCATTTTGCTGATGTACAAGTCATTTTGTACATGACACAAAACTGGATGATGGAAAGTAGGTTAATAAACCCTTTAAATATATATAAATATATATAATAGAATAATAATAGGTGACCACTTTACTAAGAAATTTGTTCAATCCATAAGACCTATTCAAGCAATGTTAAATCAAAACCAAGGGATCTGTCTTGAACTGTGTGCTGTATCAGTCATCACCCTCTTTCTGGTCTGTTTCAGCTCCTGTGAACTTTAGGATCCCCTAAATATCCCATGTACTTTAATTGGTAAAAAAAAAAAAAAAAGGCTAGTGTATTTTTCAAATTCTCGAATGTATCATGCTATTGTGTATTTCAATAGGTCTGAGACCACGAATTACAATCATCTGTCCAAAGGGTTCTCTAGGAAAAAACAACAAGAAAAAATCAATAGATGTTAAACTCTGACAGCTTCCCACAGAGTTGGCGAAACAAATGGACAGCAATCAATCATTCAGGAGTTTCAGTAAGTGATGACTCATTATCCGATATGGTAACGCTCTCCATACTGAACCGCACATGAACACACTTCAGGCACCGAGTTGTTTATAATGTGGAGCCTCTTTAGTTCGTGCTCTCCGATCAGTTAATGAAATCCAAACAGAATATAGAAGTGTGGGTTTAACCTAACATATCCCAGGAACATTAGCACAACATATGACTCTGTGAACATGCAAACTCCACACAAAGGCCCCCGGCCAGGATGTGAGCCGGCTTGCTGTGAGGCGACCACACTATCTTGAAGCCCCTGTTCTCAACCACTGCTGCAAAATTCTTATAATATTGATGGTAAGCATACACAGCCCCCAATTCTCTCACAAAAAACAACTATAACTTTCATCATTATCCCTGATGGAGAAAATGAAGCAAAAAAGAGACAAAGAGACAGCAGCAAATAAAAATGTGTTTTTTTTCTTTTTAAACGCTGTATCAGTGTTGTTATTTGTTTCAAGAAATTGTCAGTGTGAAGAGACTCCCATGGTTTAAAAGAGAGGAAGGAGGGAAGAAAAGGAACTTTTCAAAAACAAAACCATCCGAACTCTGAGCCGCAACTGTATTCTCTGTAGGTTAACTTGTTACCAAGCAAACCTGTTTAATTTACATCATTGTTTACTTTTGCTCAAGGGGCAAAGTGGCTTCCCTCTAAACAAGAAGTGCCATCAGGCATGACTGACAGGACAGATGTGGAGCATTGGTGCTGCTCCGTTTATTTTCTCTACAGAACATCATGACGAAACATATATATGGGATTTGTTTGGAACCCAGAAGAGCAAGAACAGCCGTTTAAATCGAGTCCCATCAGATGAGCAAGTGTTCCTTCAAAGTGGCCCAGGTCCTGAGCCATGAGCTCAGCCTGAGAGCGTACACGCCTGAATCAGTGGGGTTTACCCTGTTTTTCAATTAATACGGGCCACCTAACTGATGGGAGATAGGACCAAGACTTCAGAGCAATGATCCAAATTTTGTAAGTCTATTGTGCTTTTTGAATGAGGTGGAACAGCGGCGTCTGATTTCCCAGCCCGACGTGAAGCAGCTGAAAACAAGAATGTCAGGATAACCAACCCCAACCCCACCCCCCGCTGGGCTTACCTTGGAGGGCCCGTTGGAGTACATCTGAATCATGTTCTCTGCGCCCTGTTTCACCTTCAGCTCGATGTCATTCTGCCGTTTCAAAGCTGCCAGGCGACTGCTGCTGGTGCACATTCTAGCTTCACTGTTTGGGGTGTCTGGTGTTAAAGGACATTCTAGGCAAGGAAAACAAAAATGCAATTGTACTTAACATTTTAAAATATTCCACTTTATATACACTTGAGAATTGCATGTGTCATTTTTTCCAAGTTAGCTAGAGCTCGGCGGAACATCAAAAACAAATACATTGTGCGCGCGTTCTTTATATTTTGGGGACGTTTTGATGGTTCATAGCTCTCTGAGAACATCTTAAAGACCGACAGAAGTAAAGGCGTTTAAGATTAGAAATTAAACCCAGCCCACCAAATGGAGTGAGAGAGAAATGTTCCAATGCTGTTTATGTGTCCCCCAGCTCCATAAAGAGAACAAAACCTGCATAAAACAACGCGATTGTGAACAAATATTCTCTTTAAATTGAAACTGACTTTGTTCTATGCCTCGATCACAGGCACCTGCCCCGAAATGGGAACTGTTTTGACAACTGAGAGGAAACCCCGGGGCCTGTGTGAACTTGTTAACAATGATCAATACCATACTGTTGTTTTTCTCTAAGACATTCCATGGTGAAATTATTGGTGTCTCTGTTAGGAATACGACTTAAAAACATTGTCTTGTTTAGCTAGAAATACAGTTATACTAAGTTATAGAGTTCCATTTGAAAATTGTTGCACAAAGAAGAGTATCCAAGTCACAGAGTGGGATGAGTTCAGAGTATTTGTTGTTTTTTTAGGTCATGTCTTGACTCGTAAGGTTTAGAAAGAGAGAGAGAGAGAGACAGCGAGAGAGAAATCACTCCCCAGATTGATTGCTGTTGCACAGAAAAACATTCTCACACACAAAGTGTGTAAAAAGTAAAAAAACCTGCCCGGCCTCTTCAGACTCGATTTGCCAGTTAAGTTTCGGTTTAGGCTGTCATAAAATCGACTCTGGAGAGGACTCCAAGAGCGTGATGTGGATTTAAGTCCAAATCAGAGGCGCAGACACTTAAACATATCTCGAAAACCTTTGGAAAAACATCTGTAATGTGTTTCCATTCTCATGTTTTGTGTCCCTAAAGAGCTGTTTAATTTCAGACAGACGGTTAATCAAATAATGTAAAAGTCTTTGGCTCCTGTGTCGATTCTACTAAATGGACACAACAGGCAAAAGCGGGACACTGCCAGATGCAAATACCAATTACAAGCAGGTGGTTCTGTGATTCATTCACCAAACGTTTGGCCAAAACATCATCTAATGACCCCTCTGAATACCTGCAGGCTACAGACAAAAAAAGCAAGCGTGTGATCCTCTGAGCTGAGAGCCCAAGTGATTCATCTAATGACCCTTTATAAGTTCAGAATATTCTGTTAGTAACCAGGAGGGGCGGAAGCCGAGACCAATGCTGTGGAAGGCAGGGCTTCATCGAGAGTTTCAAACGGTCACAAATAAGGAAAGTCTGCGGAGCGAGGTGAGAATTTTACTGGGGCAGGGAGAGAAGGAACAAAAAAAAAAAAGTTCCTGTTTTAGAAAAACCTGCATTGCATAACAAGTGCGATGAGGTGCTGCACGTACAGTGAAGTCATGAAGTCAGTGGCAGACCATGTCATTCAGTTTACATTTGGGGTTTTCCTCTCGCAGTGCTTGGGTGTGGTCTAGCTGAGGTCACGCGGAGCCAAGAATTCACGGACCCCCACCCCCACTTTCAGAGTGGTTAGGCCCACGCTGGGCTGTGAGACAAGATAGTGAGCTACTGAATAGCTAAAGGGCTGATGTCACTGCTGGACAGCACACACGGGGAACCCTCCCTCATTTGAACCCATTCTGTATCTGATGAGAAGGCAAACAGACACATAGCTAAGAACCCTCTCCAAGCAATGACATCATAATTGGGAGACAAAGTTCTAAAATTGGCACAAGATTACTTCCCCTGTGACATGACGACTTGAAGGAGAGGTGATTTTTAACCGTCGATTTTGGCGGGAGGAACAAATGAGGTCACATGTGTTGGGGGGACCCGACCAGTGACCAAGCATTTGGGCTCCTGGTTCCATTGGCTACTCCATTTCTAAATTTCGTCTGAGATGTGAACAATAACCAGAACCCCCGTCAACTTTCTCCTGGAACCAAAAAAGAAAAAGGAAAAAAAAAGAAAAGAAAAAAAAAACACATCCTGGCTGCCTGCAGAGGCAGAACAACTCCCTTATACTAATTCAGGAAACAAGCACTGTCTCTCACAGATTCCAGGGCCCAACATATTTCAAGGGGTTGTTTTATGTCTAAATAGCTGAGCAGCATTCAGTGCCTCTCCATCATGATGCGACATTCCTCTGGCGTCACGTCAGCTCACCTCAGTTCAAAGCCAAGTCGCAGAGTCAGGCTAAATTTGTTTCCACTTAAGATAACCATTTACCAAGACAACCTCCCTTTCCTCCTCCAGCACATACACATACACATCTACCCTCATCTACTTCCTAATGTCAACTAAGTCAGGGGAATGCGACGGCGACGGACAAATTCCATTCCTCGGCCTTCCTGGTGGACGATCGCCGCCGACGGCCACTCCGTAAGGCCACCGATGTAACAAACGGACGCTCAGTGCGCACGGTTAAATCTCTCCAAATTCCCCTGTTGTTGACAAAATGCACAGGAGCAGGCTTTCAGCAGCATCGGAGAGGAACAATCGACGGCTCATTGTAACCATCGCTGGAATGTAGATGCAACAATGTCCGTCTCTGGAGAGTGAGTCACCTCCGAATACTGAATGTGCAGTCTGTGTGTTTGTATCTGTGTTTACATAGGTGTTCTGACACAGCAGCGCCTCAATGATTTACTCTACGTCCCAACAATGTTAACCACTATCTGTCCAAATGATCGCTTAACAGTCCATTACCGAGAGTGAGAGCGACATTTATACTTATGAGCGCAAGTGTAAATGTGGGACTTTTTCTAGTGCTTACCTAGAAGTTCTTCTGGGTCTTTGACCACGATGTGAGCGTTAAGTTCTTGGAGCTCCTGGTGGAGCTCCTCCACCTTCTTGTTGGACTTTTTTAGCATGTTGTCAACATATGCCAGGCTCTTCTTGTCTGTGGTGACCTGGGAGGTGTGAAAAGTAATTTAGCATGAAGCTACACTTTCAAAAATGTATTTTTCTACAGCGATGGGGAAACTGCCTTCAGTTTGATTCAAAGCATTTCTAAGACTTGAATGGAGGACTGATAGCCTCTGATTTCAAGCCTGAGTGCTCTCACTGGAGGTGGAAGGTGAAACCAACTGAAACTGCCTGCAGTAGAGGGGGGGTGGCTTAAGGCTATGGTTGCTTGAGGACATCTTAGACATAGACACTTAAAAGGCCATAAAAGATAGGAGGCCAAAAGCTAAAAGGCCTGCAAACATACATCTCCACCAAATTATGGAAAAGGCTAAATGAAAAGTTTCCATTGTCTTGCCTTTTGTCCAAATGACCCGAACACTATGGAATTGCATTTGTAGAAGAGTATATTTTGGGGGTGGGGTGGGGGTTACCTTGCGCAGGTTCTCAGCACCCTCTTTGATTTTCAGCTCTTTGCGGATCTCTCGGCGGATCTGCTCCTTGATCTCATCCAGCTTCTGCTGGACCATGGTGTCCGACAGATCCAGGTTGTTTCCCAGACCGAGTCGCTCTGCCACCAGCTGGCCCCTGGCATCCCCCTAGAATAAAAAAGGGGGGGTGAAAATAGGAGGAAAAGGAGAAAATGTGGAATATAAATTTCAAAGTCAGAAAAAAGGGAACAAAAAAGAAATAAAAAGCATCTGAATGTATTTTTCTACAGGTCTTACTGGCTTTTTTACATAGTTTTTGTTTCTCTGTTGTACTTTTTGGCGAATAAGATTACTTCAATTCCAATTCAATGGCAATTTTGAGTTCTGGCAAGTGGCATAGTGAGTAACTGTCCCGGATCAAGTACATTTAGGTCAAAAGCGCAATGTCTGCTAAGGAAAATGTGCTTGCATGAATATTCTTAGATGCATGTTATCTCTGTAGAAAGTTTCATGACATGGGACTGGAGTTTCAGAATTTTAAGACAAAAAGTGGCTGCTGATGGGACTCACAGAACCCCGGTCCGACCCTTGCTTGACCCCCCATCCACAGTCTTCTTCTGCACTTATACCCTTTGTATTAAGATACAACTTAAATTTATTGATTTGATATGATAATGGCCTTTTTTTTTCTATCCACAGAAGCCTTGCTCTGTCAAACGATTCAGGACGAGCCCTGCTTTCTAACACCTTTGTGATTTTGTTGTGCTGAAACCGGCCTATGAAATAAACCTTTAAAGTCCTTTAATCTTTTACATCACAGCTGTCTCTTCAGAGTGTTGTGGCATCGTTCCATCATTGTGGAGTCACTTTGTGCTGCTTGTCAGTCACCAATGGACTGCATCCTTAAAACCACCACCTTAACTTAAGAAGGATTAGTAGTCATTTCCTGAATGTTACAGCTTTAGAGGTCACCAGGAACACCTGATGATGTTCCATTAGAATTTACGTTCTTTGACTTGATAATATAAGCCTAATTCAAACTTAAGTCAACATTACCTTTTAATTATGCTCTCATGGCCACTACTATGCAATTTCATGTAGGTACTGTACACCTTGACTCAAACTGAATCCTAAATATAGACACCTTAGAATTGATCACGTCCCCATAAAGCACATGCATTGCTCTGCATTTATGCTAAAACAAAAACTAACAAAAAGCATTGCTTTACGAGTATACAGCCATGGACCACAAAACTAAGACAAAGAGTTTAAAACACTTAAAAGTGAGTCACTATGACAGGTGAAACAGCATTACATCACCAGGGCTTCAACAAGATTAGACAACTTATGTTAAAGCAGCCCTGAAAACAGGCATGCTGCTTCTTTTTTTTTTTAATGGATTCAAATGAACCTTTGAGATGACTTTGTTACTGGTCTTTAATGAGAAGATACAGTTAACACAATAAGCCTCGCGTTTCGGCCTTACCGGAACTTCATCTGTTTCAGCAGATTCCATCTCTAGCTCAGTTAAACAAACAAGTTCCCGCATGTTCTGCTGACCAGCAGAGCCGTCATCGAACCAAGTTCTGTCACCCGACGGGACAAACTGTATCCTCTGCCAGTCAGTCTCAGTCATTCACTCGGCTGGAGTGCGCTTTTCTCCGGCTCTATTCCTTTGCGTTTTCTCTTCAAGGCCATTGACATAAACAGGGAGGATAAACCGTCTGAGCAGCGGCGGCCAAATCCCTCTTAGCTTCTCACTCTGTGAGGTCAGAGGAGCCCAGAATGGGACCTAATCTCACTCCAGGGAGACGACTGCATCTAAAATTAACCCCCATCTAAAAACATAGCTCTGGAGCACTGCAGCTACCCCCCGGAAAGCAACTTTGCGGTGAAGGATACATTCTGAAATAACATGGGAACAGCTCTACAAGTGTAACAGTTAAGTTTAGGTGTATTATGCCACTCATCATCAGTTCCTCTAGAAATCCATGAGCGTCGCTACATTTTTTTCCACTCAACATTGAAGCAAATCTGGGGTGATCTTCGGAAAAGTAGCTAAATGAAGTGCGAACCGTGTACATGCCCATTAAAGGGCCAGAACAATTACTTCCTATTTACTGTTATTTATTGACTCTCCAACTGCAAAACTTTATTTGTAAAGAAAGCTGTCAACCATCACATCATAGTTCACATTTCCTTGTATGGTCGGATTCTCCTGGCAATGCAAGTCAGGTAGAAAATGCACATTATCCACAACGAGCATCTTAAAAAAGTTTTCATTGCTGTAACTACAATATTGTTACTATTTTGTTACTTCGGAGATGTTTTGAAGGGAGTTTGATTTGCTTGTGGAGGCTGTTTGAGCCATTACTGCATCCCTGAAAAGTCGTAGTTAAAATCGCTGGATGTTTTCTGTTTGCGTCAAAAGGAGGATGGTTTGATAAACAAGAACCAGTGTGACGCTGGCTTTGTTGGGGACGGAAGCTAAAAGTCAAGGCTGCTTTAGTTCACACGCTAAAATTGCTTGAGTGTGTGAAACATCTTTAAGTGTCTGATGGACTAGCATTAGATATAGAGGCAGATTATAGACCATACTTCAAGGTTTATACTAAGTGAAAGGACAGCTCAAGGCTAGTGAAACTTTGTGAAGATAAATCTATACACAGAGAAGTAAACATTTCCAATTGTTTGAAAAAACACTCAAACTTGCAGTTACTCATACCAGCAGGCGCCAAGTGTATTCAGTAGATAGGAAAGGTGTGCTGTGGTTTTGATGTTTCAAATCTGATTTTGAGTCATCTGTTGTCCTAACTTAAAGCATAGCTTGTTTGTTCTTGTTTCTGTCCCATCTTAGCCTGCAACCAGAGTAATGCCTCCAAGTCTCCATGAATTCAACAAATTGGAAGACTCTTCCACCAAACACAAACAAGATCTGCGGTGGACATCCACATGAAGGAAAGATTTTTCTTGATCATGAATTACTTTTATCTTGGGGAACATAATTAAGAAGATCTCTGTTAGTCAGGTGTGATTATAGTTCTTCAACTCACAGTAGAAATACTAGATCAAAACACAAGAAGTATTACAATTTAGCTCATTACATCCATGGTTTTGTTTTAAAAAGCCTTATAAAATTAAAGTTATGTTACGTTTATATGTATTTTAAGCCAAAGAGGAAAATGGAAAGTGAAAATAAACATTAAAAGGTTATACTTTTTAACTTTGAAAAGAATGTAATTACTTAGAACCTATTTTCATTAGGCTTTCATTTGTAAAACTGGTTTAAGAGAGATATTGAGTATTAAGTAACAAACCAAAATGTTACTAGGGGCAAAAGTATTTTCTCTACATCTAGTTCACAGAACTATAACAGGAAAAAATATATACCTTGTCTGCCAAGATGAGGGATTTCCATGCCCTCAGTCATTCCCTCTTAAGCCCTCAAAACACCCCCTCTTCCTTCCAAAGGTGCTCACTTCAAAGGAAAGCATAGTTTGCACATATCCTAATCCAGAGGTTCCGTGATGACTCATAGGTAAAACAGAGGTCACGACTTGCTAAATGGGGTGTTTGTATATGTGCATGTGTGAGTGGTGATGGTGTGTTGGGAGAGTGGGGGCTGAGAGTGGTGTCTCCCTCTCTGCAAAGCTGCTTGCATGTTTGCCCAGTGTGGCTCGGGGACAGAATGAGGACACCCAAATGGTCCTGTTTTACCACGCAACAATGCAAGGAAATCCATGAAAGGCCAATCAGATAAGGTGGAAATCTGTCAGCCCAGAGACCCACACAGACTGTATTTTAATGCGAGATCAAACAAAAGCATTTCATTGAAATAAGAGAAGTGATATGCACGACTAGCTCCTTCTCTGGTTTCCCTGCAGCTGCCGTACCTGCTGCAGTCCAACCTGCTTGTGCCTCCACATTTCTTGCTGCTCGAATGTATGCATGGACGGGAAAAGACGTCACACCAGGAACTTGAGATGTATTAGGTTCAAAGAGGGGCGAAGGAGGAATTGTAAGCAAATGTTTCCACTCATACCACAAAACAGAGTTTATGATGGATGTAGGGAACTTGTACGTGATAGTGTGGCTCTGCTGGTTGCCCTACAAAAAAAAAAAAAACTCAAGGCTCACAATGAGATGAAAACCTTGAAATATGAAACCTTGTAGGTGCATGTTTTGCTCGACATTTTAGAACACATGACTACTTCACTCATCTGATAAAATATTAGTATTACTACCTTAGAAAAACAAAACCAGAAAATTAAGAACTAGTAAACTAACTTGTAATCTTAGAAAACACTATTCTTACACAGGTAAAAACACTTTTTTGGTGTCTGAGACATGAAAGGAAACTGTGAGTAAAAACAAACACAAGCAGGTTAAGTTGCTCTTTAAGTCCAATAAGAGCTCCATCAGACAATAGGACAAAGGAAAACCTAAGGCCACTATCCAAGCTCCAGCTTAAAAAGCCAAGCCCTTGCCATTTCGACGCAGGCCATATCTGAGTATACAACCTGACACCGAGCCTATCTTACCCCACAGCTTGCTGCGGGGCCCTTGCTAAGGCCTTGAGCTACGTTGTGGTCAAAAATAGCAACACACGAGGTAATAAACACAGAGCCTACGAATGGAAGCCACACACAAATGCATATCCCATGATATGTAGGACTGTATGTAATGTCTTGCTCTTCGTCTCTGATAAAGGTTGTATCTGAAAGTGCACTGTGCGTAGATGTCCACAAAGCTGAGGCAACAAGAACTCAAAAGGAGGACAAACAGTAAAGAACTCTGAAGCCACCGTTGTTCTGCTGCGTTATTCTTCCACCCACATGTTTAGAGGTGAATGGTTGGGTTCAGCTCAATTTTGGTTTTCTGAATTCTCTAAAGAGCAACGACTGCACACTAAAACTGTGTCATATTGTTTACAAATCGCACAATTTATCCCAATTGTAGATTTCCTTTTAGTTTAGGTCTCTTCTTACATTATATTCAAAGCAATAAAAGCAGTGCTTGACATTTTATGAGATGAGCTGAATTATTGCTCAGTATTATACAGGACTAAAACAATGCATGGTGTTGTACTCCAATTTGATTTTAACTCTGCTAATGATCCAAATGAGCCATTTAAAGCAAAGATTTGAGTTTTGCAGGTTGCCAAAGTTAGAAAAACATTGCTAAATCAAACCAAGCCATCCATCTGACATTGGATAGGGGATAAGAACCACACCTGTGCTGAGTAAGTTGCAGATAGAGCGATAGATCTTCCCTTATGACACTGAAAAGGCTTCTGTCTATAACAGCTCATGGAAAGATACCAATAAGGAACAATTGTGCTTCTCACTGTTTTGTTTTGATTTTACTTTGCCATCAGCAACAATCACAGTCCCTCCAAAATTCCCCATAAATATGATTTACAGTGGATCAATAATTACCTTTGGTGTAAACTTAAAATAACACCGGTTAACTGTATAGTCATAGAAATGGCTGAAATAGGATCGGATGGGAGTTTGAATTGTAACGTAAAACAGAAAGACGTTTGCTAGGTCTGACGTCACTCAAGTGAAACCACATTAGTCATCCATGTGTACTACAAATAAATGGTTTACACCTAGCTCCTCATAAAGTAATAAATACACATCTAAATAAATATATAAATAAACTTAAATATGTTGTAAACTAAAATGATACGGTACTTTGGTGGGGTGATATCGTTAGCTACAACTTTAAGCAATTCACTTTAAAAACTTTTCTTTAACTAATGTAACCCCTCCGTGCAGTGATGTTAGCATTTATTATACATTTCCGTCGTATTCAGCTTAACAAATCCTAAATACAACACAACATGCGGACACTGTTTACCTTCTAGGAGAAAAGTTGGGCTGTGAAGTAACGTCCAACAACTAACATTCAACTTGACCTATAGCCACACAAACTTTATGATTCAACTTTACTTTCCAACAATGTACGGCACATTAACAAAGCAGCTGGTTAAAAAAAGAAAGGAACCCATTTTAAAGTAGGAGATTTCAGGAATAGTTAGTTTGGATAATTGTTCCCAAGGCCTCGATCCATGGATAGTTACCAGACAGGCTTTTTGGGATCTATCGTAGGCCTTGTACTTTAATAGAACACTTCTGACTCATAGGGGCTTAGATTTAAGTACATAAAACTGTTAGCTATATTAACCATGAATCTCTGGGTGAAGTTTGCGCACTTTTCGCAACAGTTGTCAACTTTTCCTACCTGCACGGAATCGGCGGCCATCTTGGTTTTCGCCTTTGAATCAAATCCTACGGGGAGAGTGGAGGGAGTGCGGGGGACTCCAAAAACAAGACTTGGTTTAAGTTTCCCTCTCTGGCGACCAAAAAAAACGTGCTTATTTTGACCAAAGCATCGGTCATCTCGGAAACACGGGACTTCCCATGTCGTCTACACACTTATTCTACGCGGTCCCGACGAAGTCCTGAACGGTGAACGAGCGCTCATACGTAAATATGCTAAAGCATAAATCTGTCCCACTGCAAGCTTGGAGAAAGAGGCGGTGGTTAGAATGGAAGCGTCCGCCCAGATAGGAGCCGTAGAGCAACGGCGGCTCCCACTTCTCGGATGCTCTCTGCCCGGACAGTTCCACACGTGATCCCAGACTTCACCCAGACTGGCCTCACCTCATGCCAATAACCTGAAACCATCGATGAGGGAACACGGTCGTGGAAATCGTTCATCCCAGGTCGAAGTGCTTCAAACTGAGGAAATAGTTATTTCGCGTCAGCTCTATTGAATTCGGTCACCCACCTGGAAAAACGCCTATTTTAAATCGATCCACATAGTTACTGACTGAGCAAGACACTCTTTTTCATATCCACTAAACATGAAATTATTTGTGATCTTACCATGTATGCGTTTACATTTTTTAGAACTTGCAAAAGAAGATTGAGAGAAGGAAAATAATCAATCAAAGCAGCAGATTTCAAAGGGATTAATAATAATGAGGGTTAAATTCATCAAAAACAAATGCACATCCATGCTGAGACTCTGTTTGTGTGTACAAACAGAGTCTCAGCATGGATGTACATTTTTTTTTAAATAAATTATACAAATTTGATAATGAGGACTGTTTTGCTGCCGGTCTGAGGGTTTTGGAAGTGAAGCATTATTGGCACTGGTCTCTTTAAGCCCAAAAAAGTTCTCATAGAATCTAAAAATATAGCATTCCCCATACGTAAGGGGAAATCAGAAAAGGGCATTTTAAATAGCATTGGATGAGTAGCTGCGTCTTTTTTTAACTACCATGAGTACTTTTTGGGTGGTGTCATTTTTTAATTCCGTGAACTATTCTTTCAAACTTACTAAACATATTGCTTCACAATCCAGGTAGCAGCAATCATATGAAAGATATTAAGCAAGTGTGTGAAAGTTGCACTTTTGGAACAACCTTTGGTAGATGAAACCAACCGAAGACAGATCATTCATCTATGAGAAAGTCATAATTGTAACTCAAAGTCAAAGGATTATGCAGATGACGATGAAACTGTCTATGAGAGCTCAGAGCAGCAAAGCAAACATACACCTCCAAAGAGTCAGAGTTTGGCCAGATAAGTCATTAGGAGCCCTTTAGAGAAACCACATGACACACAGGCAAGTCTTCTGCTTCTTTTGGGGCCGATGCACGACATGTGGCACCTCTGCAAGAAGACTTACTGTTTCCTTACATAACCACCAGGGACACCATCATCACAAGCCATATGTGTGAGAGACTGGGCAGTGTTTCTGTCCTTTTGGCAAGATGTCACAAATATTTATTGCATTGGATCAACCCCAGTCATAAACTCAGCTTTGTCTACATGACAGCAATGACAGAGACCCCATCGAGGAGATTTATGAATTATGGGATCCTGCTACAGTCCCTGTTAAGGTCAAGTCCCTCTTTCTGCCTCTATGATGACAAACTCCAGAGGGCAGGTGCTTATGACGAGATATGACTTATTTGTTTTTCATATCTGGACCAATAAGCAATAACAAAACCAATGCTGGTCATAGCTATTAAATGTTTATGGATGGAGGAATAAGAGATGGAAATGTTTAATTTTAAAAGTGTGCTCATTCTTTCCACCTTGTTGTTGCAGCTCTGTTTTTAAAGTCGATTAGATATTATACTTATTTTCACATTTAGAGAAAAAAAACAACAAAAAGACATTTATACCAAAAATAAATAAATTTGATTTAGCTCAATGAGAGTAGAGTAACTATCAATGCTATAATGTCACATGTATCATATTTGATAAATATGACGCCTTTTGATACATTCTGAAATATTTTGCTTCTGAGACCTTTTGAATAATTTAATGGTAAATATTGTGTTTTAGACCATCATATATACTGCACGGCAATAATTTGGACTTATGGCATGGTCATAGTTTATGAATATTCAAAAGAAATGTATGTTCTTTTTCCTATAATTGGTTAAAGGCCCACTCAAGGACTTCATGCTGAAAAAAAACATTTAAGGGAAATTAAATTCAAAATCATATGCAGGATGTTTATCTATTTAGAGACAAAAGCTTTAAATTGCAAAAATGTGTAGGAACTGAGTGGCGAATTAAACCTGACGAAATTAATGCAGAGCCAAAAGTTGCAACTTTAGTCGAATTCAACTTTGTTTTTTTCATTTTTTAAGATGTATTTCGCAACCTCTGGGTGTCAGAATGGAGTATTGTGTTCACCAGATTTACAAACCTTTTGTGGGGATCATTCGTTCATCTTAATCATTGAAAAACTACACATATTGGATTAAACCAGAGTTTTTCTCCCATTTTCAGCCATTGATATTGGACCGCAACTTACTTTGGCTGGTAATGAAAGGAACAATAAAATATTGCGTAATTTTATTGGATCTGAGAAAAAATTGGTCTTTAAAGACTTTTTTATTGATTTGTTGTCAAAAACAGAGCAAAACCAGATGAATAAAAAATGAACAGATCCGTAAGTTCAGAGAAAAGGAAGGAAGGACAAACATTTAATCAAATATTGAGTAGATTCTTGCAGCTGTTTAAAGTTTTACAATATTGTGATTGGGGTTTAAAGTAACTGTGTTAAATTTAGTCTTTTGGGGATTTGGTGACCAATTAATGTTCGGACATCTCCTGGTGTGGTCCTGCGATTTTCTGCAGACCTGTTTGGGGTGTACCCCACCGCTTTCCCAATGATAGCTGGGACTTGTTTAAGCCCTCATACAACCCTAAACTGCAACAAGGGTGTAAGAACAACTCTCCAATGATTTGATCCATTGACTTCGTGCGTGGCAAATCTATTTCTATTTCCACCATGTGGAAACTATGAAAGGAAATGATACGTCTCCATTTGGGGCCAAGGCTGTCTGTAACCTTTAAGGCTCCTCTCTTGAAATGCTAATACAGTTATTACTGGCCACGAGAAGATTTCCATAAATGTTGATTTATTGTGTATGAAGTGTGCCAGGCTACTGGGGACGTCTGATGATGTTTTAGTCTACTCTTGGACAAAAAGGCAGGACAATAACATCAGGCAGTTTTTGACCAGTATCAACTGAGAGAAGATCAAATTCGCAGTGGTGCAGGTTTAGCCACTCTGAGGTTATTCTTCATGCACAAAAGAACATGTTTTTGTTGTTGTTTTATAATGCACATGAGCACAGAAAGTGTTAGAAATTGAATTTCAACTGGAATAATAGAAATCGAGTGGAGAATGTTTTACACACGATGCTCACAGAAGGGAAAAAATCAACATACTTAATGAGTTTGTGCAAACACTGCAAAAAAATCTGATATTTTCAATGCATCTAACCTTTTTATCCATAAAGGAAGCAAATAAAATGATAAAGATGAGCCCTATCACCTCAACTGTATATATATATTTCAAGGGTGATGATATTGTTGAACAAGCAGTCATTCACATAGTGCCAAGCTGTATATTTCTCAAAGCAAAAGATTAATAACTCCTTAGTTAAGATTAATGACCTTAGCAAACTTTGTCATACATAAATAATAGTCATTTATATGGGTTTTACCCCATAACCCCCCTTCCCGGGTCTGTGGACCCTGTGTCATGTCCAAGAATGTGAAAACAGGCATCCAGGGTCAACCACTGCACATTCTTAAAAAGCACATTTCAGAGTTTAAATACTGTACAGACAACTTCTCACAAACCACAGGAATCCAAAAGCTAAATTTTCATTTACTGCTTTTTATAAACTGGGAAAGGTGACAATCACTTCAACTTAATCGCAACCACATGTCTGGTTACTACTCTTTTAAAAACTTAAGTCTCAAGCACTGTTGCTGTAGTAAAGAAAAGTCCTCGTTCTGATGGTAAAAGGAAGATTGTAATTGAATCTCTAAAGTATGGGGGCACAGTCTGTTTATCTGGGTCAGAGGGCCAAAACCAGGAAGCTGTAACAGGAGAGTGATCCCAGATTATGGAGGATGAGCCCAATAGCTGATCATGCCTGTCCAGGGATTATCGGAGAGTAACTCCGACTGGCAACACTGGCTCATGTAAACTTTCCCTGGCCTCTGGTGACTCCTCTCACATAACCATGCTCCTATTTTAGTTCCTTCCTCACCATTTAAGAAGTTGAGCTATGGGAGGGAAGTTGCATGTAAACTGTGCCCAAAATGCATGGAAACCAAGCATGTTTTAGAATGAGCTGCTGGAATATAAAGAGCCAAGTGGAGCCTCAAACAGCCTCAAACAATATATCAGACCAAAGGAAAGATATGAGCAAAGGACAAACGCTTACAGTTTGACACAAGAGAAGTTGGCAGCTCTCTAACTCCCTCTGCAGGACACACGCCCCGAACAGCAACTTTGATTCCACAGTAGATGCTTAATCTCCCTTCTCTAATTCATCTGACAAACAAAAACTGTGCAAAAAAAATGGATAAATAAACAACCACAAGCTTTTTTTTTTATAACCTTGTGTATATTGTTTGTCAATTAAAAGATGACAGCAAACACGGCAGCAATTTTGTCTTCGTGTTCTATTGGGGGGGAAAAAGCTGCAACACACACCTAAAAAAAAATAATGAGAAGGCACACAGAATTCAGTAGTACAGTATGCAGTCATGAGAAAAGTATTTTTTTCTTTTTGCCTTTACAACCATAACATTTCTATGCTGGATATGACATGGGATAAATTGAGAGGACAAATACTTGTCCGTTTGCTTGCTAGTTATACAAAAACTTTACGGGGCAAATTGCAAGCCTTTCAACAGATTAAAAATCCAACCATGAGCAAAACAAGAGCAGACAGATCCTTCTCAGTCAATAGGATGTCAAATATAATGCTGCAGCAGGTTATTAGGACAAATAAGAACAAACTTTATTTTTTCTCAAAAAATTGCGAATAGCATTGCAAACAAGGGGTGAAAAAATTGTTACAATTCAGGATTCAATGTTACAGAAAGAGGCAGTGTTTAATTTTCAGTCTTTTTGTTCAGGAGAAATAAACATATCCTGCTGCAGCCTTATATAAACGCAGAAATGATTTCTAATAACAATGTCCGCAAAAAAGTGTCAAAAGTATTAACTATGATTCAGTGTTTTTAAAATGAAGTGACTTGACCAGAAATAAAGAAAAAAAAAAGGATGTGTATATATTTATACACACACACATATACATACACACACACACATACATACACATATATATATATAAATATATATATGATTCAGAGTGAAAAATTAGATCAAAGAAACTTTAAACCTTTAAAACTCAAAACAGGTCCTAAAAAGATACTGACCAATAAAGTGGACTGGAAAAGTGGCAAATATTTACAGAAGCAGCATGTTCTTTGTGTTCTTCTCACGCAATTCAATGCCTTTTTTATATGTAAAAACCTCCTTTTCAGCCCACATTTACAAGTCACACATCAAATACAGTAAAAAAAAAAAAAACTGACACGCTTTCGCAAGTGAGCACTCTTTTCACAGGATTTTTATTTCAGAAAAGCCATGAACGTTCCGTTTCAAGTCCAAACGATACAGCAAAGTAGCCAACTTCTTAAAGTTCTTTTAAGTTAGTGTTGGTGGTGAGGCATGGGGATGTAATTTCATCAGAACAAAAGAAAAGAAAAAATCTCACAGTTTGAAGATACAATTGACAATCATTGTAGAGACCTTGACACAACCGAACAGTACAGAGCCGATGAAAATGCTTATTTTCTTTCTTTTTCTTTCTGGCCAAAGCCAAACGGGACGCCTGATCTGCCGTCGGCCTGTGTCGTCTTCGGGGCGCGTGCCTGCTCAGGCCTCTTGGCGTGGACCACCTTTGGCGTTGAAATGAAACGGAGTGGCGAAGAAAGCGAGCGCAACCTGCTGATGGAAGTCCGGCTCCACGTCCGGTCGGCTGGCTGGATCGTGAACAGCAGCTGCTGGCCGTTTGTGTCCAGGGGCCTGATTGTTTCCAGCTCCGCATTAAGTTCACCGTCTCGCGTGTGTGTCGCCATCAGCAGTAGTCCAACAACACTCCCATTTCACCTCACTTTCTGCCCGCCACCCTCCTCCGCGCTACTCTGCTCCGCCGGTAAAAAACAAAAACAAAAAAGCGCCCTGTCTTTCGCCAAGCGTGTACCGTGTTAGTTTTTCGGGTAGATTTTTTCGTAGAAGAAATTCTGAGGCAGCAGGTAGAGCTCCCCGTCCTTTTCTCTGACGGCGTGTGCCCGGACGAACTGGAACTGCTCTAGTGCAAACTCGTAGAAGTCGTTCTCCATCTTCCAGATGGCCGACTGCTGCAGCTTGGCAATGGACTCTTTCGTGGGCGGCTTCTTCTCGGTGGTCTTCCTCAGGTGGGATTTCTTGCCTGTAACAAAAAACGGAGGGGGTACATTAAAACTGCGAGAACAAACCCATTAATTCAGCTTTTCTGTCCATGTATCTTTTATTAAAAGGTAGTTTCTTTGACATTAATGCCCGTTAGATTTTAAAACTAGAATAAAGTCACGCTGATGATTGATTTGCAGAATAAGATACTTTTACGCTTTATGTTCAAAGTGGACTTGCAAAGTTGATAATTTCCTAAAAGATCATTAAAAATTATGATGATTCCGTCTGTATTACAAGTCTAATGTGCAATAAGAGCCTGAAGACGGTTGGTGAAGATGTCAAATAAATGGGCTTAGTGTCAGGCTGAATGTTTCCTTGCTCTCCATTTTGTCTTCTGGCAGCACCACTACAGCAATCAATTTGTAACTAAACAGGCGAGAAGCACAAAAGTTCCCTGATCACAGTCCAGTTCTCTTTGGAGCAGCTCAAACCGGTAAAATGCAACCAGCTTGCGTTCAGACGCAGCCTCGGTCGGTCATCAAACAACCGTGACTTAAAAAAAAAATGGCTGTGGGTACAGTGTAAATAAAAACGTCACGTAATCATTTTCTGAGCCAATGTAAATACCAATGTGTAATGAAAAAAAGAAAGAAAAATCAAATGCTGCACCCACAAAATATGCACTCAAACTGAAACCGTTCATACTGTTTGTTTTAGCCTCAGTCTGAGAAATGGTACATCAAAGAATTTATCAAACACTTCCCGTCTGTTCACATTCACCTGTTTTGTACAGCTCAGTGGCTCCTTTGAAGAAGCGAGGCAATGCTGCCTCCAACATCATTACAAAGTCTTCCAGCTCCTCCGTCACTCCGACCAGCAGGTACTCATTCACTAGGTTGTATTTGGCCTGCTCCAGTGCCCACTGGCTGCCCACATTCCTGCACAGAGATCACGTTTGTTCGTTTGTTTGTTTTCCTCTGTTGATGGTGGGATCAGGTTAAATGTGACAGACAAGTGTACAAATAGAACGGCAAAGGAAGATGACTCTTCGGATGATATTTGTCACTCCAAAGGGGCACAGAACGCTGAGGCAGCAGCATACTGGACAGAGGAAAATGAAAAAGGCGCTGTCAGAATGAAACAAGATGAAGCAGGCTGTTTAAGTCGGATAGGGCTTTGTTATGCAAAGCAGTCTAGAACCGGGAAAACTTTTTGTTTCATCCGAGCTTTCTGAACTCTTGTGAAAAGGAGGAGTTACAGACTGAAAGTCAGAATCAAGGATAAAGAGGGCGAGAGGGGTGTGCGAGGCCGCAGATGGATACATTATGTAGAGAGAACAGATCAAGGCTGAAAGATTTAGAAGGGACCTTGGGAAGAGAGAGTAACAGAGGTAATAGAAAAACTATAAGAAACTTATGCCGCAATGTCACACCGAATTCACAGATGACAGGTTGAACTATTTGTGCTAGCTGAGAGGAGGGTTATATGAGGTTCAGATAAATATCACCAAGATAAATTTCTTCTTCTGCAGTCTGAGGTACTCAGTCTGTCATGAAAACTTTAATTTCTTTTAACCTGGGATTGCCAGGAAAGTTCTGTGCTCTTCAGAAAAACCTTTGTTGATGCCGCACTATTGCTGTTCGTCAGTTCTGGGAATTTCTTTGCCCTGTGGGAGAAGTCATGAAGACACCAACGGCAGTCCACAAAAATATCTAAATGTTGGGGCTGGGTATAACTTTGCTCAAGTTAAGTTAAGCTTAAAATTCAGTTGTTCTTAAATATGCGTGCTCCCTGCCTTCCTTTGGACCGTCACTTCTGAACGACATCTAAAATTCCCATTTTAAAGCTCCCATTTGGAGGTAACCAGCAGGTGCTGCGTCAGCTTACTTGGTCTAAAGACGAACAAAATAACACTCCATGTTTAACACATAAATCTTGTAAATCTGACAGCCGCTTCCATCTGAGTGATAAGTTGCACCCCTGTGGAATCTTTTGATTTGGGTCAGGTAGGGTTGCTTACCTTAAAGTGAGGTTCACAAACTTCCATAATGTTGCTTTAATGCTTGTCAAGTATCTTTTTAACAAGTTTCTCTATTGGAGGTGAAGTGTTTTAACTGGAACACCGGACTTATAAATATCAGTACTTACAGTACGGCCTCACACTGCTGCCAAAAGAGCTCCAACTAGTCTAGGTCTCGAACAAAGAACATCTCAAGACATTCTGGAGTATCCTCAAGTAGGTCCATTGGGCTCAGAGGGAAATGGGATGGGATGTGAGTAGATAATGTTTTGTATTCCTCAGTAGGCATCAGGTTAAGTCAGTCTGGTATCCAGGAAGTTTTGATGCTATGGCTGATTGGTGTAAAGAGACAGACATTCAAATACCTACCAACATTCAGAGTAGTGACCGCAGAAAAAGGGAATCTGAAGCCAGAGCTTCTCAGGAGCACAGTCTGAGCCACCAGCCGATACACATTCATCAAATGTCTGAAACACAAAAAAAAGACACACGTGAAGGAAAATTCATCAGGAGTGAGGGGTTATGTGCCCTACATGCAGTGAAAAGTGGGTTTTGAAATGTTGGTTTAGAGTGGACATTAACATCTCGTACTTCATTATATTGTGCTATAAAGAAAATTATTGCTATAACTGGTGCAAGGTCCATAATTCATTCAAACAACTGGGTGAATAAATGCACTAAATGTGGACAACAGATTGTTTCAAAACCTGTATTTTTAATGCTTTTCTTTTTTTTTTTTTTACAGGAAGGGATTTTATATAGGTCAGAATGATCACAAAAACCTCAGCTCAACTGTCTCTGTTCGAGTCTCAGATTGTCCTGCTGACGTATTTACGGGGATGAGAAAGCACCGCATCCTCCTCGACCTCACTAAAAACAGAACTGCTGGTCTTTCCAGCCGAGCAAACCATACAACCCAGCATTTCTGTCAAAATGGACTCTTCTTTTTTACTTGCCTGTTTTAAGTTTAGAGGAACTTGGGTGCCACCTGACCTTCTCTGACCGTGTGGCATATGTTTCCCACTCACGTTCCCATGCACTATTTAACATTAAAAATATCAAGCTGTTTCAGACACAACAAACCACTCAGCTCCTGACAGCCTTGTCTACTCCAGCGCCCTCCAAACAGGGCTCCAAAAAATACAAAAGCGCAATGGAGTGCTGGTATGGTATTTTGAATTGATCTCTACGATGCACTTGACTGTTAATTGTCCTCATAACTAACAAAAGCTTTCATGTGGTCCTGAGCAAAATGTACTGTTGGGGTCCTCGATTTCTGCCAGTGTGACTGATTAGTGATCATTCAAACGCCTTCAATACACTTAATTGATGCCTGTTAATTAAACCTGTCATTGGGAGTAAACATGCAACACATGATGAGGGAACTTTTTGTTAAGAATTAGATTTTGAAAGCAGTTGAGGCAAAAAAACAACAACTTTTAACTAATATTTGGGTAAGCAAAATAAAGTAATAGAAATAAATCTGCTTTAAATCTATCATATGTTATGATTTTTGCTTGAAAAAAAAGAAAACAAAACCAATGTGTTAAAAATAATATTAAGAAGTATTGGACTTCCGCCAAGAAATTAGAACTCTGCTAACATGAATTGTGATTCTGTGTCAAAATATACCTTTGGCAAGAGGGGTCGTCATTCTCATTTGGGATGGGGGAAAAAAAGGAGTTTAGAAGAGCAGCCCCCCCCCACCCCGTTCCTTCTTTTTACCTTTTTGTCTCCCTGTTTCCTGCGCCTCAAGCCGGGCCTGTAGTCGTCGCCAAAACGCAGGAAGTAATAGTACGACACCAGCCTTTCAATAGGGTCCCTAATCACATTTATGTAGATGGGCTTCTTTTTCACCCCAAACCTGAAGAAAAGGTATTAATGTCAGAAAACGGTTTTGCTTTCTGGATGACCATTTTTAATGTTAGTTGCCCTAAATTACCACAAGGTGGAGCAAATTGATCAAACCCAAAAAACAAGGGGAATGTGCATGCATAAAAATATTCAATGAACGTGTCTTTACTTGGTGAAATCCAGGAAGGAGACGTGTCCGTGGTAGAAAGCCGGCTTCATTTCCCTCCATTCGGTCACATTCTTTACAAACCGTACCTGAACACACCAGAAATAAATAAATAAATAAGTAACTCAGAGGCTAAAATGCTGTGGACCACCAAGAGAAGAGGTGAAAAAAAGTTGGAACTAAAGGTGGCTCTGACCTGGTCCTGTATGGACATGACCGGGTTGTTCTTGGTGGTGTTTATGTGCAGGACGTGGTAGTGGTTCTTCCCGCACAAGTCGTAGGCAATGTTGGTGAAGGAAGTGCTGGCTGTTTTGGGCACGCGGTTGTAGATGATGACCACGTCGTCCTCTCTGTCCGACTGTGCGGCCGCCGAGTCCCGCTCCCGCAGGCCGTCCTGCGTGTGCCGCTGCTCGATCTCTCGCACCTCGTGTCTGGCAATGGCTCGCTCTGCAGGGGCGAGAGGAAACCGGATGAGTGCAATTTCTGGACTCAGTGTCACGGCGTATGTATTCACATTTAAAGGACAGCATAAGCAAATATCCCCAAAAATGGGCAAAAATATGGAATATTCTTCCAACAGTCCAGGTAAGTGCATTATTATCATTACTTCCCTCTTCTTACAGCTACGAACACTCAGCTTTATCACTGTATGTGAAATTTAGGCTTAGATTTTAATCTGACCCATTTATCCTGTTCTCAGAGGAAACTGCTCTTTGACAGTGAAAGTATTAAACATGGATTTTCATTTCATTAGACCATTGTCCCTGTCGGCGAGTGGAAATAAAACCAATATATTTTTCCCGCCTCGCAACAGGGATCAAGGATAAAGTCAGGCAGGAATATCAGTTAATCATTTCGTGACCAGTCCATTTCACGCCACCGCACCACTTAAGTTATTCCAAGTCAGTCTTTCCTAGAGTTCGTGTGTCACTGTGGAGAAAAGTGTCTGTAAGCCCTGCTGGATCTGTATTTGCAAGCTTGCCAGATTTGACAGTGTGAAACAGTTACTCTTAAGTGTGTTTCTTTTCCTTTGTGTGACACAAAGAGCAAAGTTGAAGTGCAAAAAGTGAGTGGTTAAGTGTTGCCAGAGAGCTGTTACCAAATGGCATTTAATGGCTAATGGAACTTTAACAAGACATTACGGCTATTTAAAGAAGGAAGGTTGAGTTTTTTGTTTTTTTGGGGGAGGGGGGGAGGTTGCCATGTAAACACTGCAAGAGACCACAGAAAAGCTGGACTTCAGGCCATGAGTAAGAAAAGATGAAGCACAAAGAAAGCCTGGCCCCTGACGCCCTCTGGCTTTTCTTTTTCCGAATTTGCCATGGATTGACGGCTGCTGACAAAGCTCGAGAGCGCGGGAAGGATGTAGAGAGAAGAGGGGTGAGTTTGTGTGCCTGTAGAGAGAGGGGAGGCAACAGCGCTGGAGCACCTAATACCCGTGGGAGCCCCTCGGCAGAGCCGGTGAGCCTCCGGGGTCCCAGTCGAACCCGCGCATGGCAACTGGCACGCATTTGGGACTAAAGGTCAGCTGAGATGTCACCGGTGATTCGGCCTCTCGTTCCTTTCTCTGGGTGACCGTCAACACATGGACGCTGACACGAAGCCACTCTCTCACAGGCCGCAACTGTTTCTGCTCCGCTCATCAAAGCCGGATCGGGTTACGAACTGAAGCCGCGCCGCTTCCGCACTCTAGCATCTGATGCCCCCGGGCGGATGGAGATGTGCCAGGTGGCTGTAATGGGCGAAACGGTGTCAGCGAGCCGAACAGCTGTGCTGGAGACACCGAGCCAACAACAACAGCGGTAGCAGTTGCTGTGTTGGAACTTCATCGCCTGAGCTCAGATGACATCTCTGTCTTTGGTCAAATGCGTAAACATAAACACTTAAACATAGATAGCAAGTCAGTTTGAAATTGCCCTCTTCCTGCTTATATCGGTAGAAGGGGTAAAGTTTAAAACAATTCTGATTAGAGGCTGATTTGTTTTTGTTTGTTTTTTTTACTTTCAGTTAGGGTGTGACACCTCCAAACAGTTAAAATTTTAGCACCTACGGGGCCAGGGTGCTAAGTGGGATGATGGCAGATTGCTGCCCGCTGATTGGCCAGGGGGTTGGGATGAGTCATAAAAACCCTTTCTCTATTTCATTATTTCTGTGATCATCCATGTTGTAAATGATTAATACACAAACCAAAACCGCCGTACAACACCGATGTTCAGTCAGTGTATCGTCGGGGGTCTGTCACATACAAATGAAGTCTTTCTGTCCGATCCCATCAGTTAGGACCTCCATTGTATTGGAAGACCACCGACACTGAGCAATGACGAGGCGAGTAAACCTGCACTGTGTAGATATTTACCCTTTAACACCACACGTATCATATTCGATACATATGGATTTTTAAATGTTTTGCATCCGAGACCTATTGCATCATTTAAGGCTAAAAACTTTGCTTAAAACCCTGTTGTACACAATCAGATATACCTGATAAAAGCGGGCAAAAGCCAACGCAACAATGGTTTTGACTTATCGTATGGTAATAAGTGAGATATTCAAATTTTTTTACCTTTCAGACAAAAGACTAAAAGAAAAAAAAAATCTCTTTACTTTTTCTTAGTTCAGACATTAAAGGGGTGGTTTCTAAAAGGAGCTGGTCTTCATTTGGTTTTAATTTGGCCATTTAAGGATATATTCCACCTCCGTCAGCTTCATCCTCAGGGATCTGGCAGCCATTTTGAAGAACTTTGACTAACACCGCCACATGACACAATGGATAGATTCAATATTTAAAAAAAATTTGTCCAAGGATTTTCTTTTTCCATTGAAACCGATTGCCGATAAGATCAGCATCATCTTTTAGTCACAACATGGGGTCTTAAGTGACATGACAATTTCTTGTACCTCATGACTAATACTTGATCAGCACTCAAGGCGACTCTGCAGTTGAAATAAACAGCAGAATTGTATGAGCCCTATTTGTTATGACATCCAAGGTCAGATTCACAGCATTACTGAAAATGGCAGATAGAAAAAAAAAATCCTTCTGAGGGAAAGTTTTCGCTTGAATCCTTTCGGAATATTTTTTCATTTACACGGCAGTTGATATAAACAAAGCAGCCACAGCATGTGGAGTTCCTCAACCTGTTTCTTCACAGTTTCTGTTTTGAGGGCAGCTGCTGTTACAGCACAGGAGTGATTAAAACCATTTTGGGCTGTTGTTGTTCGACAATATCTAATAAGGTGGTATGAGTCAACACGACATCTGCATTAATGCCAAAACCTTAGATTCATAGCCAAGCAGTGATATGTGGCCAGGTCATTTGGGCTCTTTGGACTTTCACAGCCATTAATCTGACTGGTTAGAAGAGCTGCAGATGAGTAAGTGACCAGAGAGTGAACATACAAAACCTTTCCACTAGTACCTTCTCAGCCCGGCATGGTTCTCAATGGTATTTTTGCATTTCCAGTAGGGGCTGGCCCCATTAAACCGATACAGTTTTAGCACTTACTCAGCCGGTGTTCCATCAGGGTGATGGAAGGCTGCCGGGCCCCAATTGGCAAGGAAGTCCCCAGTTTGGATAGTGACTCCCTCACATCACCATTTTATAGACACAGCTTTCTAATTAAAAGCAAACATCTGACATATTTAGCAGCAACACTGTTCAAAACTATGCCTGTAAATGACTCCAGATTTTGTTGACTTTGCCGTCAGTATAATTTCGCGGGACTGCTTTGAGTTTGATTTTTTTTTTAAATTTAAGGTTTGGGTGAATTTTTTTTGTTTTGAGAGTGAGGTCTGTTGTATTATCTGTAATACAAAGGATACTGTGTCTGTGAACAGGTGCCGCTGAAAATACATCATACGAAATATTGTGTGCACCACAAAGTCCAGTCAAATCGAAGCCAATGGCAAACAGTATTTGTTTCATCCCAAAATCAAGGGATAAAAAACAGAAAAATTTTCAACCTGACATACAAATGTAAGATTTAAATGCTCTTTTTGGTGCGCTGATGCAGAAACCAGGAACTAGCGACCCGACGCGTATTCTGTATTTTTGCTTTTTTATGTAATGGATTAAGTCTTGGAAATCCTGATCCCCCCCTCCCTCGCACTTCTTAATAAATGTCGGAGTAAAAAAAGAACAGAAGGGGTAACCGCCATACCGTTATGAACCAAAAAGGCCCTGAAACCGCTTGTTACCAACATGGTATTTGGTTTAAAATCTCCAGCAGACAAAGTGAGCACAGAGGGAGCTTCTTAGGCTGTGTAGTAGAGCCTTTTCTTTATAAGACTGAACACATCTCGCACAAACCTCCATATCAAAGGCCCCACACGCACGCACACACACACACACACACACACACACACACACAAACTTAAGCTTTAGGCTCCCTTCTGAGGTCATTTAATTAGAGAACAAAAGCATGAATTACAATGGCCACACAGTCGGGCTCTTTTCATTCCACGTTTCCTTCACTTTCTTCCTCTCAAATCGTCTCCGTGCATTATAAGCTAATTATAAACCGTGAAGCCGACACGGGTCTTAAAAAAGTGCGACAACTACAAGCCTATTACTCCTGGTTGCATTCAAAGTGAGAGTCAGGGGGGAGATGGAGTGCTGCCAACTGAACGTATTTACTGAAGCAATTTCACGCTGATTAGCCATGAACATTCGGAGTCATCATTCATATTCACAGCTAGATCTCCGAAATGTGACGGGCCGTCATGTATTACTTCTATCATGTCAGATATGATGGGATAATAAAGGAGGGGGGGGGAGAGAGAGAGAGAGAGAGAAGATGATCCTTTCTCCAAGCCGCCGATAAATCTATCATCGCTCTGATCCACCAGTCAGAGCTCGTTGCTTCTGTCTGCTTCCCCCAAGCGGGTTAGCCCCACGCTCCAAGGCCTTGAGCAAGGTGGGTAATAGAGATTGGCTATCAGCCGGAGACTGAGGTGTACGGCTCATATCGTTCTGCTTGGATGCCGCTGGATTGCAAAATCAATGAATGATGACAGGAAAGAGATCTAGCTCTCTGCTGTATAAAAATTGAGCTCGGCTGTTGCTGCTGGTTTCTCCCCGTTCCCTTAATATAGACTTGGATGCTGCTGCTGTTTCGCCGTGCCAGGTTTCCACGGGGACAGTTATGTCATCACTGCAGCACTCGCTCGCATTTGGATAAACGGCACTATTGAAATTCAATTTTTTTTAAAAAGAAGAAAAAAAAAGAAGAAAGAAATTCAGCCCTTTGGATGTATTCAGCTGAGAGTGAATTGTAGGGAGGAGAAAAAAGTCGGGCTGACGAGAAGATTGGTAAAACAGCACATTTGGGTATATGGGCTGTACAAATAACAGCATACACGCCGGGAGAGGAATCTGTTGTGCGTCCCTTCAACGCTGCTGGCACGTCATAAGAGCTGAAAACGGGAAACGAATAAGGGCCACATTCAGTATTTCCATTACATTTCCATTTGTGTCAGCAACAACCCGCCATATACAAAGTGTACTGAAAAAGAGCATAATTGCCGATGCTGAGGCGTTTTTTCCGCCTGTGGCTTTGACACACAATTGCGACTCTGATGTTCAAAGAAAGGTCTTATTCACT